CCGCTGTCCCGCCGAGCCGCGGCCCGGGCCGGGGCCAGGAGCTGCCTCGGAGAGCGGGTTTGACATCGGAGCGTGTTTGCGTGAGGGGAACTGGCCACGAGAAGGGAAGAGGGTAGGTTTAGTTTAGGTGTTCGGAAATATGGATGCTAGCTATGAAGCACAGTGCCTGTGGAAAAGCAGGCCGCATAACTTTCTCAGTCTGGCCTGAGAAAGTGGCCTGGGAAATCATAAGGAGGAATTAAAACAATCCTCAGAGATAGAAGACAGCCTTGCAGGTGCTGTTTGTCAGTTTCTTGTTTTCTTGCAAGAGAAGGTCGAGGGGTGGAGTTTCTTGTTTTCTTGCAAGAGAAGGTCGAGGGGTGGTGTACCCCACTGACCAATGATGGTGATGTGTTAGTTCACTAACCAATAAGAGTTTTATCTTTTCTGTACTTTGTATGGGTCTATAAAAGAAGATCTGAAGTAACAAACTTTGCTCTCCTATTCATGCACAAGAGAGTCTGTGTTGTTCTTCTCGCCATTCCCAATAGAGCGACATGGAAGGAATTCTTGGCTGTGAGGGTGGAGAGGCCCCGTCAGAGGCTGCCCGGAGAAGCTGTGTCTGCCCCTGGATCCCTGGAAGTGCCCAAGGCCAGGTTGGATGGAGCTCTGAACACACAGGGTCAGTGGACACTGTCCCTGCCCACAGCAGGGGTTGGAACAGATCATCTTTAAGCTCCCTTCCAAGCCAAACCATTCCATGATCCAATGATAAATTACATATTACACAATATCTACTCATTCCATGTTCCGGCAAAGGAGAATTTGTGACAAGCTGAAGATGCTACACCAACCAAAACTTAAAAGATAACCTGTCAGTGGGAGTCTAACTGTAGTGAATATTCTCTTGCTGTCTAATAAATGTCTTTCATTTGTGAAAGGCATCTTGGCTTGTTTTAATCACTGCTGCTGGAAAGCTATTTTCAGAGCTATCAGGTCCATAAATACCAATAAATGAACAGGTATAATTGCCACACGTTTAAAATAGCTTGTACACATGGGAGGGAACGCTATCCTTAATGTCAGATATACCCTGAAAAATGGCCAAATCACGAGCCTCATATGCAAAAAGATCCTCAAATTTTTATGTATTGTAACAAGGACAGTATCTGGCTGAAACCTGTTGTTCTCTACATTGTAGCAATTACCTCCCGTGTGTCAGGTGCTCCTGTAAATCTGTCTTCTGTTTGGTGAATTATTTTAGAGCCAAACTAATTTTAGAATATTTCCAGCAACTGCATTGACTGATCATATTGCAATCTTGTGAATATGTAAAAGCCCTGAGAGTTAAAAATGTGATTGTCACAGTTAGTCTTAGTGTTTCACAGCTGACAGTGACAGAAAATCACATCGCTTGTCCTGGAAGGTTATCTCTAAGCAATATTTTTTTGATGCCATTTCTTTATTTTCAATTTAACACTTATTTGTTTAGGGAATGCCAGGTGGGTTTGAAGGGTAAGAAACATTGGAGGGTAAAAAACATTGCAGTTCTTTTTGAGCAGAGAGCTCCCAGTTGCAGCTGACTATGTCATTGCTGGATTTTGGTTTTTATTTTTTTTATGTTTGTGTGTTCTGCATCATCAGTGAGTCACAAGCCCCGGGAGGATGTATATCAATGCAAGTATCACAAAGCTGTTTTAACTTCATGGTCAGTTGTTTTTCACTCAGAATCCAGAGGCAGTTGGAGTTTCTAAGAAACTATAATCCAGATAATCTTAATGTAATATGATCTGAATTATAAAAATTCCTATTATTACAATGTCTTAGGGAAGTCACAGCTAATTCAACAAGATGCAAGATCAGCTTTATGTTTTATGACAAACAGCAATTAAAACTATCTAAGAAGAGATTCAAAAGCATTTAGGCAGCCTTTTCCTAATTTTTTTGTTAATTTTATATATATTTTTAGTTGTTTCAAACAGCACGGAAGAGTATCTGGGAGTAATACCTACTCTGTTTCATGTTGAAATGTTAAAGTTACCAGATGTCCTTGATTCATCTTGGCAGTCCCCATGTGCTTTTCATCATTTGTCTCATGGCAGAAGACACTAATTAAAATGAAATAGAGTAGAACTCCATGCTCAGGACACTTTGTCAACTTTTGGCACTATGGTCAAGCCAGGATTGTTTTGCTCTGGTATTAAGCAGAGAGCTGATGGCTCCGAGCCATGCTGACATTTGTTTTTGAGAGGAAAAGGTGGAAAACCTTTTTCATTAAGCTGGAACACGGAGCATTCGGTGGCTGTGGGTGGTGTGGCAGAGCCAGGCAGGAGGAACCTGCTGGCCCTGCTCTCCGTGGGGCCAATTCCCCCAGGAGGAGCCACCCTGCTCCTCGGTGCTGCCCAGAAAAGGAAGCTCTGATCACCCACTGATCCCTCAGAGCGTGTGCTCCGTGCTGTTACAAAATGTTTGGAGTGTTCAGGAACTCTGGGAGCTAAATTTAGAGTGCCTAGCTGTGCTCTGGATATCGTTGGGTGGATGGCTCCTATGGGATGAGGGGAGGTGGATGGAATTAAACTCACAATGCACAACATTCTGAGACTGAGACCATTGGAAATCATATGGAGAATAAGGCTTGCACTTGATGTGAGAAGGAAACTCAAGTGTTTGCATCCTTTTCAGCTTAATCATGTTGCTTTTTGTTTTAAAAAACAACATTTTATAGTATTCTTTTGGAAGAAATCTGCTTTATTTTAGCCTTAAAATGCAGCCTTCCTCTTTCTCATTTGCTGCTGGGAAATAAGCAGGGTTTGAACAGGCCTCAGGGAGGTGACCTGAATTGTATGGAGGGCAAAAAGAAAAGTGCTTCGTAATTCTTTGTAACCTTTGGAAGTGACTCCTGTGAGCTGACAGAAGACAGACAGGATCATGAAGAATGCTTTGACAGATCTTAGCATACCTGTGATCCATGATCTGGTACCATATAAATGAGTTTAATGGCACAGATCCAGTGGTAAATGCCTCTTCAAAGTAAGGCTTCTTTCTTTAAAAAGTAGGGCTTCTTGCAGCAAACCTGGATTAATTTTAGCAGCTATATTCAGTTTTAGTAATTCCAGTTTCTTAAGACTAAAGACAACAAGAATTTGTAAGGAACACAACGAGAAGACTCTTGTTCTTGACAGAGTCAACATCCATTAAACTGCAGTTAATTTTCTTAGGTCCAGTCTGATCAACTACAGCTTGAAAAAGCTAAGTAACTTCTGTCACCACAGTTTTACTGGCTCCTTGACCATATTAAGGATTTTTTTGGGGTGTTCCTAAACACCAAAGTAATTCTTTCTTTTTGTTTATCTTACCATATTTTTTTTAAGTTTTTGAGGTCAAGTCAGCTTTTCCAGATTAATAGTCAACGATTATTCTGAAATATCCCCATCCACTGCAAAACACAGGATTTCAGGCCTGAATCCCACTTCCAGCTGTCATGGAAATTTCCAGTCCTATCCCAAAGGAAAATTCCATTTTCAGCCTTCCATTCAAACCCCTGTTTAGGGAAGAGTGTGCTTTGAATTAGTGTCCTCCTCAAATCTCATTGATGCAGCTCATTCTAACTTCTTTCAACGGTCTCAAACCCTATGATTTATCCACAGAAAATCGTGCTCATTTCACAAATGAATGAATGAATGGCTTTTAAAGAGATAGATTTATGTGATGTAACACATTTACTATCAAAAGTGTAGTAAGCAGTAAGTTTATCTAGTAAAAAAAAAAAAAGAAAAAGGTGTTACAATCTCTTATTGACACACTGCACTTTATAGACATTATTTTCTTGCTAAGGAGACAACTTGTTCTTTAGCCCAAAACATTTTAATTTAGTAACATATATGATACAAAAAGAATTACTAAGTGAGTGTAGTTGTAACTGTGTTGCTAAAATTGCAGCAGTTCACACTAAATAAATTAAGGGTATTAGAGCGATATGTGTCAGAAATTTAAACCTCCAAGATAATGGCAATTGAGCAAGTATTCAAACAGCATATTTGTGGCTTTGAGAAAAACATCCAGACCCAATTAGAACCATTTGTTGAGGTCTGTAGAGTTTCTTTTTTACTTTCCTATGTATGCTATAAAATATTTTAAACATTCCCCATTCTTGTTGTTTGAAACTGAAATGTGAATTATTTTTTTTTAATATCCCAATGCTTCTTTGGCTCTGTTTAAATCAACGGCAAGTAATTCTTGTAATAAAATGAGCAGTATTAGCTATAATTCTTGAAGGACGACTTAGTAAAATACGGACTTTTCTATGCATTCTTTTGGCACATAATCTAACATTTTTACTGCTTGCATAATGATGGAACTATTGGTTTTAATGCCATTTATTATTTCAGCAGATAGAGTTCAAACTGTGTAGAGCCTAGGCTCTCTAATAGATAGATAGTGGATATTGTAGGAATATTTCTTGCTCGTGGGAAGCAAGACAGGAGCTGACAGTTTAACAGTGGGTGCATTTGTGGGTGAAATTCAGTACTGGGAAAGGGGCCAGTTCCCGGTGATTTCATTCTTCAGGAGAGAACATTAATGCAGGCATCTTGCTGTAGCCAAGGGAAGCCAGCTCCCCTGACCCTCATCATCCCAAATGAGAGCATGGCCAGGAGCCACGAGACACCGAGTGCCCAGCCCGGGGAAGAGCGGAGGGAAGCCCGGAGCAGGGAGCAGCTGGCACCGGCTCCTGGAGCCGAGGGGCTGAGGAGGAGGAGAAAGGCTGGCCAGGCTGCTCCCGGCCACTGCCAGCACCACATTCCCCTGCAGTCAGGCTCCCTGCGGAACTCTTAGCACGGCCCTGCTGCTTTGGGAACACAGGCTGACCCCTGCTTCTGATCCTTTTAAAAAACTGTTATTTCCCTTCTGTAATATTTGTATTACTGCCATGTCAGCGCTCTGTTTATTCCATTTCTCTCAAGGACAAGAAAGCATCAAACCATACTTCTAAACTTACCACATATACTTCATATAGAATTAACATGTGTTAAAAGAGTAAAACACATCTTAATGTGCCCTTCTAAAGAATCATTATCCTGAGGATAGTAAAGCCAATCTCTTTGGAGAAGCTGGAGCACAATTACTTGCCCTTCCAACTTTCCTATCTTCTTTTGTTCAGGACAAGGGTGGAGTTCAAAAAGCAGGCAGTAAGGATTTCACCTTTGCTGATAATCCATGAAACACCTGAGAATAAATCTGATCCTAAATTTAGTCCCCCTGTAAAATAACTAAAGGAACAGTAACTGAAATTGAACAGGAAAATGTTTGTTATATTTTAAATGTACTTTTCTCTGCTCTGTATTCAACACTCAGGTTAGTGGCCAAATCTCCTTTCCACACAAATCAATCAATCAACTGTGACTGACTTCAATAGGAGATTGATTTCCTACTTCGAACCTTGGCTACACCTTTGTACCTCCAGTTAAGCTATCTCTTCTCCACGTTTTCTCAAATTTACTCTACTTAGAGGCTTGCTGCTTTCCCAGTATTTCATAATGGAAAAGGTGCAGAACACATCAAACCAGGAACAAATAAATTGTTATTTTCCCTGTACAAACCAAAGAGTTTCAAAGAAGGACTCAGGGCTTGAGAATTCTCCTGTGACCGCAGTGTTTGCCTGTTGCCAAGGCCTGTGGTGGGATCTGGGTTCTTGTTGTGGTGACAAAATAAGTTCTTCCACCACAAGTAAATGTCGTCCCCACAAAATGGAATAATTTCCAACTCAGCATGACAGTTAAAGCCCTTGGCTTTCAGTAAACTGGGACTTAAGCAGCAAATCAAACAACCCATTTTCTTTTTGATGCAGTGCCATGTGGTTGGCTACTTAGAATCTCACTTTTTGTGCAGTGATAAAATTCTCTTCTGCCCCTCACTATTGGGCATTTGCTGTGACATGCATGAGAATTGCAGGCACATATAGGAAAAAATCAACTTGCCATGGAAGATTTACTGGTGAGGCAACGGTCAAATTTTTTTCTTTCTCTGCAATTCTGAGCCTGGAACAGCTTCCTTGTCTCCAGCAGATGAGAACGAAATCTGGCTCATTTAATCTAATTTTGTCTCCGCCAACAGATCTTTCTCTCAGTTCTGGTCTGCAGAGCTGATTTTTATAATAGCTTCAATAGGAAAAAAAGAGAGAAAAATTTAAAATCTCACCGTAGAGAGCCTCCAATGTTTCCTCTGGACATATTATAACTCCCACTGTTAACCAGTAACTGTGTATCTTTTTTTTTTTTTGAATAATGATGCCCATAATACTGGAAGCTCTAACATTTACTCAGCCAAGACCATTTATCTTGTTATAACAGGATCAGCATCTCAGCTGGGGCTTCTGGATGCGACTCCACTACAAACAAAATTAAAACCACCAGTCAGCTGGAATTAATAGTATATAGGAGCCACACTGTTACTCTGCTCACACACAGAAGGACGTGTGGAGGGTGTTAAATCCCAGCACAATGCACTGGGAGAAATGGATTTTTCCATAATTACCAAACCCCTTAGATAGCAGCTATCACCAGGAACCAGGAGAGCTCCTGAAAATATTGCTCCAACATTCCTAATGGATGGTTTTCCTCGTGGCTACGTCGGCAAGAGCTCAGTGCCAGCTCCCCCCCTCCTCCTGCACTGCAATACGTAGGAAGCCTTTATTCCCAAACGGGAGCGTTTGCTTGCTGACATCACATGCGGTAGGATCCTTTTGTTTGCCTGTGTCTCCTGCATTGAAATGTTTGTCTGAGTCACAGATCCCGCTGCCTCCCTTCCCCTATGTCATGCTGCTTGCTTCAGAGCTTCTCCCTGACTCATAGTTTTTAAATTTTGACACAGCCCAGTTTGCTGCATGGCAACTCAATACTTTTCCCTTTAATATTTTATTACGTAATTTTTATCTAAACCTTATAATGATGCAAAAACCACTGCCTTCCCCCCTCCCCCCCCTTTTCTTTTTGCAGCCTTTTTTGAATAGGGAGATTTTATGACTCAGATTCAGCACTGAATTTCGTTTCAAGGCAAAGTCAGTTTAGTGTATACTAAATAAAAAATTTAAGATAGTGACTCCCACAACTTGAATTCTCCATTTAGCTGCTGGCTGAGTTTCCTCAGCTCTAACGTTACCGAGTGCTCTGCCAAAAGGGGTCATCTCTGTGCATGTGTACAAACACTCCTCATAATTGAAGTAATTACTGTTTTGCAGTGCAGCACCTTTTTTCTCCTCTAATAATCTCCTTGATTTGCTTTTTCTTAATAAAAAGAGGACAAAGAGCTGCTGTGCTTTCAGTGTACTTTCATTCTCTGGGTTTAGACTCTGGAGCTGCTGATATTGCTGGTGCCTAAGTCTGGGTTTCCTCTTTATTACAGCCATGAACAAAAGAGATCCTGATTACAGCAAGAAATGAAATGAAGAACGTGGAAGTAAGGGCTATGCAGCAGTTTGGTTCAAGCCTGAGCCACGGTAAAATATTCCCACTTACTGAGACAGGAAGATAAAATTATTGTGCTGGATTAAATCCTTTGTCCTTCAGATGCAGCCTTTCATCTCTTGTTGCCACTACAGGATAAATGAGAAGTTCAAAGCAGAGCTTTGATTGTCCTTGACCAAGGACTTTGCGGCAGGTGAGGGCTAAAGCCCCACTCTGGTGTAGCACAGAAAGCTGCATTTCTCTTCCAGCATCCACTGCCTGTGTCCTGCTCTGAGCCCGTGGTGAGCACACAGTGCTGCATCCAACCTCCTTAAAATTCAGGTACACACAAAGCCAGATGACTGATCCACATGCCTGTCATTAAATGTTCTGTGCTAGAGGCTCTCATTTCACTGTCTTTTTACCCAGTGTGAAAGATGGTTGTAGCCCACCCACCCCCTCAAAAACAAACAAACAATTAATGTTCAAATAAAGTCCTGAGCAGGAAGTGAAGCTGAGAGTCTCTCAGGCTGCCTTTGGCTGCGTGTTCACTCTGCCACTGCTCCCCTGCAGGTTTTTAACATTCCACTTTGGAATCACTGTTGCTTCTCCTCCTCTGTCCGTGGCCGTTTCCGAGGGTTCAGCTCAGTCCCTTCTGCGCTGTGAGTGACAGCTGGAGGCTGCACATCTCGGAAGCCATGGGACTGGAAGATGGAAGGAAAATCATGTGCTAAGGCTTGTAGTGATAGAAAGCATGAGTAACCAGTCCCCAGAAGATCATGCTGTCATTTATTCGGGATGAGCAGCCACTGAATGTTTATAGACCAGGTTAAGCTCAGCACTGCAAACTTTACAACACATGTGCCAACTTATGTCTGTTCATTTTGTTTTTTAAAGATATTTTATTTTCACCAACCAGGCTATCACTTTCATTTTACTGTTTATCACCCCTATGGCTATGAAAAACTGCTTCTCTGTAAATTAACTTATGTTGCCTATTTAAATAAATCAAAAGACAAATCCATCAGCTCCCACAGAAGCAAGGAGATGACTGGATTAATTGCCTCAGTCATTTTCAGAAACAAAACTGTGAATTTCTACAACCTAGGATATTTTTGTTCCGTGTACCTACTTAATGAACTGAAAACATCAATGAGACATTGTAAGAGAACAGCAGAGCTAAATCTGCCTCTAGACTGCAAAGACTCTTCCAGCACAGTAATTTATGGGACACAATGGGATGAAAACCTTTGACTGCCAAAAACTAAATGTAGAAGTGAAAACTACATGCTGCTGCTCAGGAGAGTGCTTGAAGTGATCTATCTGGCCTAGTACCACTCATATTTTCTACAGCTCACAATTTAATTTTTAACCATTTTAAAATATGAAAGATCTCCAAGTCAGTTAGTTAAACATGTCATGGATGCAGATGGAGATGATGAGATGTTGTGTGAAGCCTGCAACTCTCTGAATTCCCATCTCCAGACAAATGCTGTGCAGAGAGCACTGCTGACAGCTCAGTGAAGACTCTGAGTGCAGACTTAGCAAGGAAAAGGCATTAATCAGAACACAAAATTGCTTTGCTGATCCAAAATGCTCAAGTAGAGACAATGTGGGGATGAGAGCATTTCAGGAACGCTGACATTTTGGTGCAGTGTGAGGAAAGCAGGCAGAATTACCATCAGACGTGACTCTTCCCAAATGCCAGTGTGTCCCACACCAAGATCAATCCCAAATCCCAGCAAAAGTCTCCCATCTCTGTATTTCTATTTCTGAATGCCTCACCTCACCCAACCCAGGCTTTTTAAAGGAACAAACATCAAGAGGTGTTACAAGGGCAGGATCTGTGCAGCCCCTCTGCTATTTATAAGCAACTCAAGTGTTATTCTAAAGAGCATAATGGGGAATCTTCAAGTTTAATGTTTCACTGCATCTAATCTCTGCCATTTCCCTGAGGCACAAAGGTGGATCTGTAGCCAAGTATCCACTTAATCCAGAATGCTGACTCCCAGTGAAAGCATTCCAAGGGTTATAAGGGCCAGAACATAAAGCAGCCTGCCCAGGATGGGTGTCTTGCACTTGGTTCCAGGCAGTACCTTGAAAATGCAAGAATTTTGTGTATATTTGTGAGGTTTGGTAGTGAGTTTCAGATGGTGAGGATGTGCCTGCTGGAACCAAGGACAAAGCTCAGTCTTCTGTCATTTTGAATTGTTCCTTGATGTCCTCTGGATTTACACCCTCTGCAGCAGGACTGGCAAGGGTAGATGTCTTTATTACCTGAGCAGCGCTCCCATTGCTGGCCTGGCACACCCTCCACAATTCAGGGAAACACAATTCCTACCCGGAATTTAGATCCTGGGTCTCTGTCTTTCACTATGAAATAATCAGGTCACATTCCTGGGAAATTCAGGTGAATCAGCCGAGCTACTTACTCCCTTGTGCATAAATCAATTTCCATTTCTATACTCTGCATTTAAGAATGAATCCTTATCAGCCTGTGGAAGAAAGGATTTCATGGGAGAGGAGTTCCACAGCCCCCTCAGAGTGGTGACTGACTCCAGTGTGCTGGAAAGGACAGGGATAAAAAAATCCCAGAGCTCACTCATGAATTTACACATTTCATCAGCTCATGGGTACTGAGCAGCCGCTTTGCAAATGGTACCAATGAACCTCATTTGCACATTTCTGAGTCTTAAGGAAATTTTTTTTTTAAGTATCTTTTTTTTTTTTTTTTTTGTATGCTGGTTATACACAAATCTGAATTGGAAACACTGGACATGTATTGACATCTTTCAGTTTAACTACAGAATGAGAAATGGTAAGAGCAGACTGTTACCAGACCTGAATTTCATGAAAGAAATGGGGATAATCCATTTTTTACTAAAAGAAATCATCTGCTGAAGCAATTCATCAGGATTAAGGGAAAAAACACAGGGATAATCTTAAATTTTAACTAATCTTCGATTAGGATTCACTCTCAACTCCATTTCAAGATAGTGTGCATTCACACAGAAGAGAGCATAGCTGTCTTATGGTGCTTATAAAACTGAAAGAAAAAGGCAATTAAACTAAGATAAAATCCATCTGTTTGTCAGCTGGAGAAAAAAGGACTCACATCACATGATCCAAACAACCTTGGGATGTAATCCCACTTCCCCTTCCAGTCTTTATAAAAGTATATATTTGCAGTATTTCTTCTGTCCAGGTGTATATATTCAGGAGTGTGGGGAAAAAAAAAAAAAATCTGATTTCTGTTTGAAAGTTTGAGGACCTCATCTGATGGCAGCATTAAAATCTGCAGAAAATGCTATGGCAACGTGTTTCCATGAGGACATGTAGCAAATAGTTATGGAATTGTACCTATGGATCTGATATCTGAGGATGTAAGGGTTGAGTGGTGCTGTCTTTTTAAACCTAAATACAGCTTAGACAGCATCTCTTCTCATTAATATGAATCTAAGCACTCCACAACAGGAAATAATCACAGGATTTAACTAGGGATGAATAAGGACACCAGTCATAAGCTGGAATCTCCTTCTATGATAGGGACAGAAGAGAAAAATCTGTGTATATTGGCTGATGCAGGGTCGGTGTAGGATAAACTGGGTGGGTTACACCACACATAGAGCTGGGGAAATACCTATGGAACAAAGCACTGGTGAGGCCTCTGGAAAACCAGGTTTAATTCTGGTCATTCTCATCCCTCAAGATAAACTCAGCTGGAACAGATGCAAAGAGGAACCTGAGAAACCACACCCTACCTGACCAGAGAGAAAACTGTTCAGGTCTCCCAAAATGAAGGCTCAGTGATCCTGCTAATGGCATTTAGGGCAAAAGTTAACATCAGGGGCAGATAAAATAAGCAGCACCAGCAGCAGAACAGAGGTGGACAGGCTGCCTGAAAGTTTGATCTGGAAATCAGAAGTATTTTAACTTTGAGTAGACAAAACGCTGGATCACTTTTCTAAAGAGAAAAAGAGCAAATTACCCCTAAATCTGGAGATATCCCACTATTAATGCTTCCCTTCAGAAGGCAGCTGAAAAGCAACACTAAGAAAGCAAAGACCACTCTGAGATTTGTGTGAAATTCCTTTCCAGCTGACACTGCTCCGACCTGTGAATCTCCATCCCCAAAGGAACACTCACTGTGATGTGATAGGCTACGGTGGATTCCTTCTGACTTGGTGATTTGTACAACGTGGCCAACCTGGTAAAACAAACCCCAGGTAATTTTAATTAATTAATACACTAATAAACATACCAAATAGCCAGTGACTAGACACAAGTTTTCCTACAGCACCAGTGGAATTCTTAGGGATGTATTTTCATATAGGTCATTCAAACTGTGGATTCCCATCCTTATATGACCTGTCAGCTCAAAAACAATCTAGACCTACTAAAAAGAGTGAATGATTAATTAGCCTTGTTTCATCACAGTATTTGATGACATTTTTGGAACAATATTCATCATCAATTAATTCCGAATGTCACTTTCTTAAAATGCAAACAAAAAGGGTTTTGAGCACAACTCTTCCTTACTCCATTAATCACTTTTTCTTTGACCTCTCAAAGCTGGGAGAGACCTTCAGGAATTCCAGTACTTCCAGGGAGGCTTTTTCCAGAGATCTCACAAGCCTGTCAATATAACCCAGCAGCTGGAGATGTTCTATTTCTAAGCCTGCCCTTGCCACTGACACACAGCACAACCTTGAGAAAATAGTTTCCTTTTTATTTCTCCTCTGACACTTCCCTGATTTGCTGCATTTAGATTCTAAGCAATACACCTTGATTCGTGTTCTATAGTAAATGCTTGCATAATATAGAGAGAAAATTGCAAAGCAGCTTAAAAGGAAAGGGGTATTCAACCCTTGCCAGGGCTGCACCATGCCCACCTCCCCAAAACTCACACTTACATAAGGCAATCTAGAAAGTGTTCTGCTCTCTGTAGCAAGACACCCTGCCAAAAATCCTGTTAATTATTTTCGGGGGGTTTTTTCCTCCCTGAGGTGCCATTCTATCAGAGAGCACGTAATTACAGCCCGAGGAACGCTGCCACTTCATGTTAGCTACACAGGGAATTCCTCAGAACACTCAAATGCTGGGTTATACTTGACAAAATTGCCCAAATCTGGAGCTGCAGAAGCCAGGCTTTCACAAGAGCTCAGCTGGAGCCTCTGACTCAACTGGATCTTTCCTCCCAGCAAAGAGAACCCTTAGAATTCATCTCTGACATTTTCAGTAGTAGAGAGAAAGGAGGAGACAGGTATCAGAATTGGCCAAAGACACTTCAAAAGTATTTTATAAAAGACAAATAGATCCTCAAACGATCTTTGTGCCTCAATAACCTGATACCAAAACAACAAAACCACAATGGGATCATCAGCTATGGGCAGCCTGTGCAAAAATAAGACAGCATTGAGCTATTTCTACTTTTACAGTTGTATCCAGAGTTGCTGTTTCTGCAGGCCCCACTCCATGTCAGCTGCAGATTTACATCAGTAAATAAGCCAGGTTTGTCTGTCCTTGGCTTGTTTTCTGGAACTTCTATTTGCAGCCTTCCTAGCTCTGTTGCACAAGAAAAAAAGTTCTTTTCATATATAAAATTAACTTTTGTTCACTCTGCAATCATTATGTTGATGCAACTTGTCCTAAAAAGACTGTTAACTAATCAGTGATGTTAATTTAATTCCAAATTAAACAGCCTGCTGTAATCATCCTGCATTGCCTTCAAACTTAGAATGTAAAAACAAAACTCCCCAAGAAAGTGTCACTGCATTTTTCTTTCAAATTCAACAAGCAAAACTCTGCACAACAACATTCCAGCAGCATTTTTGCTCACTGTTTGCACAAGATTAGGGAATTATAGCACAGCTCCTTAATCTCAAGCTGCTGCATGGTGATATTATATACAGGACAAATTTAACTGACCAGGAAAGAGAAATGACCTTGCAATGTAAAGAAGGGAAAAAAGAATCAGGAAACAAGAGGAGATCTCTTTGCAACAAACAGAATTTCACACTGTTTTGAGAAGGTTCAAGCCCTGAAGCTCATGGTCAGCAGCCTGCCCCGAGGGTCACTGGCTACGTGGCTTTAAAGCCCTCTTTGGCATCTCTGGCTTTGGACTAACTGGAGATGAAAACATTGAAGCAAAAAAAATCTTCTCAAAGAAATTATAGTGGCTACAACCAACCATGGAGGAGTGGGAGGTTCTTTATAATAAGACTGTTGAAATTGCACCTCTTCAGAGTGGGGCATAAAAATCACCTTGTGACCCACCAGCTCAATACCTGCACTGAGTCTATGGCAAAAATTCACATTAAAGTAAGTTTTACTCAAAAAAACCCCCCAACCTTATATCACAAAATGCAGATAGTAAATGAAATTTTCTACTCAGCCACCAGATCTTAAATCCTTGTGTGTGAACAACTACCATTAGGATGTTACACCTTAATAAACCATGGCATCTTGCCAGGAAGAACCCACCATGGTGGGGAGGAGGAACCTGACAGTTCAGCCCACACCGTCCCAGACTGAAAGAGAAAATTCCTGAGCCTTGGGAGTCTGGGATGTCGCAGAGCAAGGCCAGGAGCCAAATTCAAACCTCTGCTTGGCCCCCATGGCCAGTTTGAAAGATTTTCCAGTGCCATTCTTGTATTTTCATGGATTTTCCTCACGTTTTCCCTCACCTCTGACTGTTGTCCCAGTGGAAGATCAAACGGACAGTGGCAGCGTGTCCCCAGCTTTCTCCTGAGGAACACAAAATGACAGATCATTATCTCTTACACCACCCCCATCAGCACACTGAAATAAAATTAATCTTCAAACCCCCTCCCCCCACAATGATTAAAACAAAATATGCCTTTTTTGCTGTGATGCATCACATCTTTTTCATCCTTGCAAGGATTTCACAACAAATACACCGAGACAAGGAATAACCTCTGTAGTCCATATGTTTTACAGATATCTTGATGCAATACTTCCATATTTGTAGAAAAAAATTATGGATGCCTAATTAAGGACAGGTACTAGACAAGTCTTGAAAACAGAGGCAGCTTGAAGAAGAGATTTGCCTAATTACTACTGAAAAAGTCTGGTGAGGAGGTCTAAATCCTACTTCAGAACTGCGATATTCTGTCTCTCAGGCATAATTATGAGCAAACATTAGTCCCTTTGGGATACCAGCTTTGGGAGAAAGTCAACGATTATTAAAGTATTAAAGGCCCCTGGAGCAGTCTTCTGCTTCTGACAGCAAAATGCAAAATAACACAACCAAAAGCAAGGAGCAGGAAGGTGTGGTGGAGAGAAGGAAGTTTGGATTTTTATCCTGCTCCAGGGACTCGGTCCCATTGTTTCAGCTCACACCTGACCACAAGTCAATGTACAGACATCTTGATTGGGTGCTTTTTCCTCTGTTTATCCTGTCAGCAGTACAAAGCTGGACTGCATTTTAAACCAGTCAAGTTTCCCCTGTCCACCTGTTCTTTCCTGTCCACCCCTCCCTGGTCTCCTCCACATCCCCAGCCCCTCGTGCCCCCTGTGCTCTGGTATTTATTAGAGCAGAGAGAAGGAAAAAAAAATATGATCCCACTGTAATGAAGACCTAGACCCTCTGGGCATCTTGCCAGACCTTGCTCCACTATATCTGAGCTGGGATTAAAGATTTTGGCTCTCAGAAATGGCTCTGAGGCAGAGATCAAAACACATTTTACAATGGCTACAAATTCCACACCAACACGTTTCCAACTGCATTGAATATGAGTGAAAAATGCTACTGTAAAATGAGATATTTCAGAGTTGAACTGTCTGTAGATTAGTATTTGACCTCCTTTCTAAATATATTTAGTCGAAATGTCTAGGAACACCCAGCTTAGCTATCACTAGTGGGAAAGAAAGCTGTCCCCTTCATAAAGCTCCTGACTTAATACCTTGCAGCATCTGTGCTTCTTTCTTTTTTCTTTTTTTTTTCTCATAATTAAGATCTTCCCTTCTGCTAAGGAGCTGAATAAGAATTTAGAGATTAATGCTTTCATGAAAAAACTGTTTCTCAGGCAATGGAGGAAAAAAGCCAATTTAGTGATTTTACTTGGGGGTTTGCTGCTGACCCCTCCCTCAACAGTTCCTTTGGTTTCACCAAACCATGGAGGAGTGGGAGGTTCCTTAGCCTTTATGATGGGACTTTTGAAACACCATCTCTTCAGAGCAGAGCATCAAAACCACTTGGTTAAATATTTTCCCAACTGGGACCAAGATGCATTTTTGGAAGAGTTCACACTGCTCAGTTTAACAATACTGTGGTCACACACGCTGGGGAGAGTCACAGTCAGCTCCACAGGAGGTCATGTCAAATTAATTGTTTGTGAAAGAAATTATGCACAAGGCAAGGCAGGATATCTGGGAATTATAACCTCCCCTGAATGTCCTCACATTCTTTACTGTCCCCATGACTCAATAAACACAACAGCTCCCAAACAATGCTGGCCAGTGAAAAAAGACAGACTCTATTAGCTTTAATTGAGTTTGTAGCCAGAAAGGCTGCCAAAAATAATCCATCAGAGAGAGCAAGAGGCAAAAACTGACATAAAGGGTTTGATCCTGGGAGCTGGATCTGCTTGCACAGCTCCAAATTCCACGTTCTTCACATTCCTGCAGGAGATGGGCTGTGTTTGCTCATTTTACCCTATATCTCTGCCAAATGGTTTGGTACCTGTACAGACTCTGGGAACATCTTTGCCTTTGTACTGTCCCTTTCTCTCTCCTCTCCAGAGCAAGGGAATCATTACTTAGCTCACAGAAACTGAAGGATTTGTGCCCTTTAAATGAATCATAAAATAATGCAAAGCTACAGCCTGAAATAAGATTTAAATGCTGAACCTTTCCTTAATTTGTAGAAATCTCCACTTCAGAACTGTTTTATTTTCCCCTGTGACTGCAGCAGAAAGGCATGGATGAGGTATCTGCTCATTACAGGGCAAAATTGAGCAGCCTAGAAAAAAAATCTTTAACCTGGCTCAGGGCAGGCTGTGCCTGAGGATCCCACACAGAACTTCCCTCTACATCATAACTGCAGAGAATTCCAGTGATACAGCAAATAAGAAATGCCTTTGCAAATAATTAATGGGACATATTCAAGGGTAATGGGAAAATAAACAATTTAGACTGTTTGGGAGAGGCAGTGAATGGTTCTCAGGGAATTTAGGAAATTGCAGCTTAGTTTGGGGTATGCAACCATTAAGCTGGGTTATTTTCTGAGTGATTTAACCTTCTCCTCACCACATCCCTGCTAGAGGTTTACTGCTCCCAGGTACATTTTTTGGGTTATTTTTCTTGGTACATAAAGCCAAAGGAAAGGAACTCATATATCAATTTCCAACTCAAAGCTAAACACTTACCTAGAGCAGGTACCAGTGTGGACTGGCTTTGTCCAATTCTTGTTGTCATTTGGTTTGTCAGAACTACCTGAAAGGGGAAACAGAAGCAAAGAAATAAGAAAATCTCCTGGTATGCATATTAGTGGTGGGAGGGAAGAGAGGGAATTTACAAAAAAGCTTTTACTGGTGAAGCAGTTACTCAGGCAAAACTCTTGGCAACTGTGATGAGGAGAAGCTGAAAAGGTACCTCATCTTTTCAGAACAAATTAAGAGAAACCTGCAAAATGTATTTTTTGTTTGAATAGGAGATTTCTTTCATTCAAGACTTTAAAGAAATCTCAATTTCTCCCTCCCCAAGGAAGGCAAGCTCCACACAACTGATTTATCCCACAACATTTGTCCTAAATGCTGTTTGGATCTGTTTTAGCTGCAGATGACTTGCACTGGCCCTCCACAAGGAGCCAGCTCTCAGTCCCTGGGGTAAATGAACTTGGTGGTGCTGCTCACAATGTGTATTAGCCTGGTGATTACCTTAATTTCTGTGCTTTGTAGTCTAAAAATGCACAAGTGGGTACAACACAAAGCAGAATGGAAGTGAACAGACAGAGTGGGGGAGTGTTTTCACAGCCCAAATCACTTGTGGGAGGCTCACAGACAGTCTAGGTTCGATCCCTGGTAGAAGTGGGGGTGAGTAAGACAGGAAAGAGCCAGGAATATTAATGACAAAGTTCATTAAAAATTAAAAATTGTACCCATCTAAGACCCTAGAGAGTTCCACTGTTTGACATGCTCAGTCGATTCTTGCTGGAGCAGCTCAGAAAAGTGTGTGACAGCAAACAGTTCCACTGAGCACACCCTAAAACATTCACACAGCTGAGAGCCCAGCACAGATATTGCACATTTTAGAGAAGTAACTCATCACAAGTGCATGGTAACAACCCCAAATAGCCTCCTCATCTGCCTGCTGGAGAAGGGCTGGGCATCCTCACTCCGAGTCCAGCTTTAGGATCTGACTTCCTACCATATTAGAGCATCCAGAGCTGCCTGACAAGCAATCCCTGGCATGCAGGCTGGATTTAGCCTGCTCACAGCTCATGGAACTCACTAAGACACCACTAACAAGAGGGCAAATCCAAGTAAAACCATTCCTGAACCTCTGACTCCTTTAGCAAGAGTTTATTTAGCAACTTTGTACTGTTCCTTGGTTCAGAAGAAATTATTTATGTATTTCATCCTTGACCAAAGAAAAACATTGTCCAGGGACAGCAGCTGCTCTTCAAGGTCACCAGGTACCAAGCTGTGGGGGAAAGCACTCAGGAAACCTGAGGTTGTGCAAACCCCAGACCATCATCTCCCTGGTGCCCAGAGCAGCAGGAAGGAGCTCCACAGCTCATGTCAGGACATTTTGGGAATGCTGGGCTCTTCCCTTCCCACAGCTCCCAGAGGAAGCACAAGAGGAGTTTTATTTTTAGCAGCTTGGAACAAAAGCCAACTGCGCCAGAGTGTTGTGGGTGACAAGGTCACAAATCACCTGGACACTCTTAGAGGCACAAGCACCATTTTGAGGGCTGGGGAAGCTCCAATTCCTGAACAATGCTTCTCTGAGCTGCCAGAGACTTCCAAAACAACTTCTGGAACAGCTGCAGCTTCCCAGTGCCATCTGCTGGCTGCGGGTCTGCTGCCTCAGACCATCAGTGACGTAGGAACAATGCCCAAGAAGGAGGCTCTGGGTTTCCATGGATGCCAGAAGAGGAGGCCAATCCAGCAGATAAAGTGGTTTTCCTCCCTAGGAATGCTAAAACCATAGTTTATTTTTAAACAGAAAGTGAAAAGTTGTGTTGGAACTGCTGAATGTTCTGAGGTTTTTTGTAGGTAAAGTCACCAGAGGAGCATACCTTGTCCAAGCAAGTCAGTGGAGATGATGGCAAACAGCATTAGAAATGCCATACTACCACTTAATTAAGATCCACAGGATGCTGTTGCTGCAAATTTTACTTATTTTAGCAAGTCTAGGAATTTGCCACCTTTTAGGTGTTTTACCTTTGTGATCTCTGTATATTTACCGACTAAACTAGCAAGAGTGAATGCAGAGGGTCTTACTGCAGTTTTATTTTGCTATTTAGAGACAAAAGCAATTCACATTTCCTTAATTCTTTGTCAAAAAAAGTAGCATCTTTTGGGATTTAAGCCTGCCCTGGACTTACAGCTGATTTATGGTCGTTGGCTATGATGATGAGCTGCTGTGCCAGCCCGTTCAGCAGCCTCGTGCGCAGCGACAGGTCCTCAAAGTCGTGGCGAAAGGGAAAGGCAATTCCATCAATCACCACCAGACGGACCTAAATGCAGGAGAAAAGATAAAATACTGCCATTACCATCCTATAAAAAAATGACAAAAAGCAGCAAGACCTGTTTTTAAGTGCACTGGAGTGTTTTATATCATCCTTAGGTGACTATGACTGGCAAAGCTGAACTTAAAGCCTTGCAGAGGAGAAGCTGGAGAAAATAATCATTAAACAGCAGAACTGTACTTCAATCAACTCTCCACAACCATCAATTAATCCACCTTCTTCCTCAAAAAGTAAATCCAAATCCAAATCAGAATTCAGGCTCTCTGGAGCCACTGCTGAGATAATTCAGCTGTTATCAGTGCTCTGTCTTGGAAACATGTTTAACAGATGCCTAAAGATATTCCAGGCACACTGCACTGGAGCTGAGGATCTATCTTGCCTCAAGATGTTTGCTTTGCTGAATTATTTCTTTTGTAGCAATCATTAGCTGAAGTCAGAGTACACTGCAGCTGCTGGCTCATCACCCTCAAGACACTGTATAAACATTAGTCTGGGATTTTGATTTATTCTAACTTCATTTGTTGTGGCTGTTTTGATGACCCAAGTCTGAAATACAGGAGGGAGATGGATGCTGTTACAGTGCCTGCATGCTCAGGTGTCACTCAGATCCTTGATATCTACAAGCTCTTGCATTACTGCACAAGATAACAAAGCAAAAACAACACAAAAATCCTGATTTTCTGCATTACTGATTTAACTCATTACTGGAAAGTCTCTTTATGAATGGAACATAGAAGCCTGCACAGACATCACTGTGAAATGGTCCTGGGCCTCCAACTGAAAAAAAAAAGTCCTCTTAATTTGCAAAAGAAGATTAAATAGTTGGGATTAAAAGAAGACATTCATCGTATTCTCATTTTCTCTTCTTCCTACAAATTCTTTTCCACGAGTCTGTACATCTCCCTCATGTATCACTCCTTTAAGAACAATCAGTTTAACAGCATAAACATGACTCATGCTAGACAGGAATGTATACGTGGTTATGTAACTTGGCTATTAAAAATATGTCCAGGTAAGATGCAACTTAGTTAAATTTCTCCCAATCTTTACACTTTCAAGTGTAAAGAGAGCTTGGTAACCCCTGCCTTGTCCCTGCCAGCCTGGCTCTAGCAGACCTTATAGAATTAGGTTTTTTATTACAAGAATATTTTCTATCAGTCTTTCTCATATTATTACAAGACCTCAAACTAATTCATATCTCTAAATGGCACATTTGGAGCTCTAACTCTACATCTTTCTTATCTCTAAACCTCTACAACTTTTTCTCTCTCCTAAAAACCCTAAAATCTGGAGGCTTGCTGTGGTCCCAGACTTGGCTCCAGAGGAATCAGACTAATTTTAATGAGAGCTGGACTGCAGTGAGCAATCTGTCAAGTCGCTTCTAGCCTGTCCAAGGAATCAGCAGAAGGTCTTGTGGTTCTTCTGCAACCTTCAGCACTTCAGGCTGCAGGCCAAGCCCAGATAATCAGCACAGATGGTTCCAGGGAGCTGCAGCCCAGTGGAACTGTGCTAATGAAGCCATGTACTTTCCACAAGAGCAAACACAACAGGGCACCGTTAGTACCTGGCAGGGAAAGGGAAATACCAGACTACACCGAGCAAAAGTGAGGCTCCCATCTGTGTTTTCAAGAACACAACAGCTCCCATGAATGAAAAATTTTGCAATACATACAAAAGACTTTATAATCCAACACTGATTTGTGCTCTGATAGACCAAGGCACAGTCATATTTCCCAGATCCTGACAAGGAGTGATCTGCAGTGCAGAACCCAGAAATCTGGAGGGGAGGTGGTGAAAATCTGCCTTACAATAGCATTTCTCTAAGACATTAGGTACTAAGAAACTTTCTGGCTGCAGTCCACCCAAGAGTCAAGCTGCAAGCTCTGGTTGCTTGTAGCAACAGAAGATGCACTGAAAAGAAGAGTCACTTGGATGGTGCAGGATATTTCTGTTGCTCAGTGATCTTTTAAGGCAAGAACAGTGGCACCAAGCCTTTCTGATGCCGGCCTCATGGTCACCACATACCCCCCTGGCTCTGAGGCTCTTGTGTGGAGCAGTTCTGTGCTGATTCACAGCTCAGTGCTCACAGAAATGGAACATGTGGCAGCACAGACCCAGTGTCCTCAACTCAGAGTGGAAATTCAGGAGGATGGCAAAAGCAAATTACTCTTGAGAGTAACTGGGACAGGAACGAAAAGGCAAACAAGCAGAAGGCTTTACATTTGTACTCTGCTACCAGCCAATATTTTACTGCCAAGCTGATGAGGTACCAAGGTGTTTACTCCTGTTACTACAGCAGACAAAAAACCTTCAGCGTGAAGATGAGTGACACCTCCTGAGAAGCCTGCAACAACCCTTACCTTGGAATGCTCTGACAGGAATTCTGGCAGGAGGTAGACCTGGGCCAGCAGCTCTGTGTAGTCACGACAACGGAAGTAATAGATGTGAGAGAGGATATTTTCCAGAGAGAAAGTCTCCAAAGCTTTCCAATGATCTGAGAACAAAACAAACAGATGAGTAAATGAGTCAGAATTCTGTACGAGCATATTGTTACTTTCATCATCCCACCAAACCCTGCCCTCCACACATAGCAACAGCAAAGCCCCCAGAAACAGAACAGGCAAGGTAAAGAGTGTGGAAACATATTTTCCATCTGGCTTGAAAGTCAGGAAGGTGGTGAGCAGATGCTATCCCAGCATTTGCACACAGACACTCTTGAGCCTCCAAGGGAGGCCTCCAACAATGAAAAATTTATTTCTGAAGCAAGAACTTCTCCAGTAAATCATTTTCAAGCCAGAACACCACCAGAGGACATCAGGGACTATTAATCATCCCTTGTTTAATATACAGGCAGTAACTCATTTAATACAGAGTCTTAAAAAAACCTCAGTTGAAACAGAAGTTTGGTGCATAAATTCTCCACGAATAACACAAAAGTTGTGTCCTCATCCCCAAGAGACTGATGAGAGAATAAAACTCTTACTAAAAGCAGTCTGGCTATATTAACTATATGGAGGAGCTGAATTCCAGCTACAGCTTTACTCTGTGGGGCTTCAGCAGCAACACTGCCTCATAATATTCTGCTGTTCCTCTTTTCTTTCCCCACCTGTTCCTGTGTTTTGAAACAAAACAGTCAGTTTTGCTCAACAGGTGCAAAGATGATCACTAATGTGCTAAAAAACTAGAAAGAAGGAAAAGAAAAGAGGAAAGGAGGAAGGGCAAACACCAAAACCCCACACACCACCTAAAACCCCCAAGATCAAAATGTTCACAAAATCACCATGTAGAAAAAGAATTATTTTTGAAGTAGCCCAGCTCAGTCTGCTCCAGACACCAATGTAGTTCAGGGTTTGAGACACACAGCTGGAAATAAAAAGCTCTCAGCAAACACTCCAAAAGTAACACTGCAGCCTACGAGACACTTGTTTCACTCCATGCTTTCCTCCTCCAGAAAGAAATGAATTGGCAACCTACCCTCTTCTTGCTGAGCCTCAGCAATAAGGTGGCAGTGCTGCACACAGGCAGCTGCAATGTCCACTACTCTGTCCACCATAAAACTTCCCTCAGTGTCAATGAACACAGCTTCTCCAGCAACGCCTCCAAAGCACTCTGGGATCTGGACATCCACTGCCAGCTGCATGCTGCCATGGCAAACAGAAATAGAGATCAGTATCTGCATCCCCGAGCTGTCCCAGCTCACTCCTGGAGTGACATTCCTGCTGAGGAATACACGGGACAGGGACCAGGACAATTGTTATTATATTTATAATGCTGGAGAAGAATCAGAGATTGCAATCACTACAACAAGAAAAATGGACTTATTTCTCAGCTGAGTTAAACAAAAAGTGATTCTTGGTTGCATACAAGTCACGGGACAATGAAGTACCACAGCTGTGTTTTGCCGACACCGGGTGCTCCGCAGATCTCAGTGATTTTTGTCAGCTGTACTCCACCTCCCAGGATGTTGTCCAGTGCTGAACAGAAGGTGATGATGAAGCCCTGTGCTTGCTCTTCTTCCAGAAGCTCCAGGGCTGTGCATTTCCTGGTGGCACCTGATGCCCCAGCTGTCCTTGCTGCATCTCCGTGACATTCCTGCCTCACCACCTGCAGCACTTCCAGTGCCTCTTCCCTGGAGATTCCAATTTCTAGAGAAGCCAAAACCACAAAACACCACCTTTATTTTATAAGCAGTGACTGATTCTGCAGGAGGACACAAAATGATCCATATTCACCCTCTCAGGACAACATGCATACAAGCCCTGGTACTAACAATGTGATCTTCAAACTTCTATTGTCATAGATAGTAAAACTATTGATAATCAAAATCCCAGACTGGTTTGGGTTGGAAGGGGCTGTAAAGACCACCCAGTTCCATCCCTGCCATGGGCAGGGTCACCTTCCACTGTCCCAGGTTGCTCAAAGCTCCATCCATCCTGGCCTTGGACACTTCCAGGGATCCAGGGACAGCCACAGCTTCTGTGGGCACCCTGTGCCAGGGCCTCCCCACCCTCACAGGGAGGAATCACTACACACTCCTTGAAAAAGGCAATTTTCTAACTTCGAACAGGCTTCTTTTGTTTAAATCGCATAGTAAAAAGAAATACGAAGCTGGGGAGAGAGGAGGGATGAGCCTAACAGAATCCTTTCGTTTTCCTGCATCCCATTTCCATCCATCAGTGTCAGCAGATCTTTTACCAGGGTCGTCTTTATTATTGACCGTGCCCATTTCCCGGAGGCCTCACTGGGGCGTCCCAGGGGCCGGGACAGGGAAGGTGAAAGGGAAAAGGCCCGGAAGATCCCGGGGAGGCCCCGCGGAGCCGAAGGCCGCCGGTACCTTTGCTCAGGCCGCAGGGGCCGGTGTCCAGCAGCTCCTGCGCCGTCTGGAAGCCGGCGGTGGCAAGGCGTGCGCGCAGGGCAGGGGCCAGCGGCAGCGTGCCCACCTCCCGCTGCATGGCG